ACATTGTTGCAACAATCAAGCAACAATAAAGATAATCACTATAATGAATTGAAATGCATAAAACATTTATATCCATGAGTCCACGAAGATATGTAAGAAAACTTTCTTGGTCACCTTAGAATGCTAGAGAAGCAGCTCATTATCTTAAAAGCTAGAACATTTATCCTGCATTTTCTAGACAAAGCATACCTCAAGTAACTAAACTAGTGAGGGAAACTGCTGTTATAAAGCACTCCAGCTAATAAATAATGAATGATGGAATTAGAACATCACCATTTGCAACCCCTAATGAGTTAATGGATCTAGGCAATAATCATGAATGGCTGCTAACATCACAAAAAAGAACGATAACCAAACATTATTTGCCTCTTGGAAGAAGCATCCAGAATCACCTATGAAGTATTCTTGCCCCCAAAAACAAACCTGAATCTGATCAACCCTCCAGATCTAACTACCAGTTTATGGAAAGCTCAGGGAGGAATACACCAAACACTACCACAGAGATACAATTAGGGAAAAAACAAACAAAAAACAGACTATAAATACTACAGGACAAACAACCTTGTTTCTTCAACAAAAATTTATGAGGAAAAAAACAGAGAAAGGAATGAGAATCTTTATTTCAAAAGTCTTAAGAGATGCTAACCATTTTAATATATAAACCTAATTTGAATCCTGATTCACAGAAACTAAAAAAATTTTTAAAAAACTGTGGAAATTTAAGCATCAATTCCTTATTTAATGATTTTAAGAAATTATTATCCATTTATTGTGATAACAGAGATGTGGTTATGTTTATTAAGAGTCCTTACCTTTTTAAAATTAAACTTTTCATTTTGAGATAACTGTAGATTCCACATGCAATTGTAAGAAATAATACAAAAAGATTATCCATACCCTTCACCAGTTCCCCAATGGTAACATCCTGCAAAACTACAGTACAATATCACAACCAAGACAGTAACATTGATACAGTCAGACACGGGACATTTCCATTGCTACAAGGTTCCCTCTCATGTTGCCTTGTATAGCCACACTCTCTTCCTTCCTACCTACACCTCCTTCTCTAACACCCAACAACCACAAATCACCTCTCTAATTTCAAAAATGTTATTTTAAGTGGAATCATATACTACGCAACCTTTTGGGACTGGCTTTTTGTACTCAGAATAATTCTCTGGACACTCATCCAAGTTGTTCAGCGTATCAGTAGTTGGTTCCTTTGTATTACTGAATAGTATTCCCTAGCAAGGATGTACCACTTCATTTAATCTCCATGGTCTGAAGGACATCAGAATTGTTTCCATTTGGACTATTACGGATAAAGCTGCTATAAACATTGGTATAAAGTCCTTGTTTTTTAAAGATACATACTTAAATTTGTATGGATGAGATATGATGTTTCAGATTTGCTTCTAAAAATTCCAGATGGGGTGAGATACTAAAAAAGTAACACTGGCCATTAGTTTGTAAATGTATTATACTATTAGCTCTACTTTGGTATATGTTTATAATTTTCCATAACATAAAGTTTAAAAACAAGAAGACAGTAAGAAACAACTACCTATCTGACCACTTCCACATCCACATACATAAACACACACATCTTCAAGTAAAATTGAAGGTATGCTTTCTTATCTTATGACTTTTAATTTGTGCCAAGATCACAGGAGTTCTTTACCTAAAACATAGAGCCCACACCTGCAAGTAATCATTATTGTAACATTCATTATACCACTTTGGGCAGATCCAACCTAGGCATCTGTTAACTTTCTTTCAGAAGTTCTTTATTAGGCTACAGGGTTGAGATAATAGGTAATTCATAATGTTGGACAAAAGCAGGTAAGTAATCACCATAATCAAATGTATGAGATTCATTAGTGGCTTGTCGTCAAAAGAGAGGGTTCATGTCTGACATGAACAGGTCCTTATCATCAAGATAAATGCTGAGAGAACAGAAGTGTGATTACTAAAGATGAAGAGTAACAAACTATATGAGCACAATCAAGCCTGAAGATGAAGTGAAATGCATTTTATATTGTGCGAAGGCTGCTTTTGTTTTTAAGCTGCTCTGAAGGACAGGATATTATTATCATGTTCAGTCTGCGAGCTAATGGTTCTTCAGGGTAATCTGCAAAATGCTTTCTACGGTTGGTGCCACCACTAGTCTATCAGCTCATTCTCCCCTAGTGCTGTATCACAACCTCCCCTTCCCCCAACTGAGGACACTATTTTTTTCTCCACGTGCGGTTTTACAAAAATGAAGACCCACTCTCTCAAGGATCTCAGGCAAAGAAGAACATGTAAATGCCAACCCATTAACTAATCTAAGATTAAAAGCCGAGACCGCCGAAGGAGACATTCATGATGACTTCTGAATGCCAAGTAATGCAATGGCGACAAGTGAGCTTCCCTGGCTAGGTCTTTAATGCCCGCACATGCACTGTGACGAGCAATTCTCAAGCTTAAACAAAGTTTGTTGTCAAAAGTGGGATAGCTGTCCACAGATCAATTCCCATAAGACAAATCCCAAAGGAACACCTAACCATTCCAGTTGTGTTGTAGTTTGGTTATATCAACCATCTGTCCCATTAAGTGATCCCCTGCACTTGGGTGTTAGAAATAATAATGCTTTTTGTGATTGGATTTGATCATTACTACTATACTATGTCAGGTAGGAAAAGATGGTCCACTAACTGGCTGTCCACATGACACTTAAGGATCTACAAATTAAAAGATATTAGTCAATTCCTTTAAAAACAATCAATGTACAGATTGGTTCATTTCGTTGGTTTAGCAACTTAGAAGTTCTATCAATAGAAATCTATTGGCAACATCATATTAGGAAACTAAGAAAATACAGTTGAGTACAAAGTCTTGTTCATATGTCAAGTCAGAACAGAGACACATAGAATTAAAACCCAAAATGACATAGATCACCAGGAATTGTGCTATAGGCTTGCACTGAGATTAATAACAGGACTGGTAGTGACAGAAAAGGGAAAGCATAAGAAATGGGCTCAAGAACATAATGTAAAATGTAAATGAAAAGAAGCAGAGAAAAAAGGCACTAAAGTTAAATGCGGATGTACTTTTGGATGTCTTTGGCATCCATCTTCTGCCTCTAACATTTGCCATCTTCCTTGACTCTTACAACCAAACATTTTCTGGGTCCTGTGGTTCTGACACTACAGTCTACATTTTTAGACAACCTGTGGTCCCTGGCAAGACACTGGAAGTTGAAACTCTTAGCACTCACCTTGATGCTTAAAGGCTAAACGCTTTGCATAAAATAAAATGTGCTTGCCAAAAATCTTAACGATGGATTTGCTTATATGTCTCATTCTTCTTCTTCAGTGCAACCACCCGTACCTGGTCTACAGAACTGGGTTTCAGAGGGGGCCATTTCTGTGAGCTGAAGTGGTTTCAAGAAAGGAACATGAGAGAAAAGAAGGAAATATAAAGACAGAACAAAGGCAACAGGGAAGACAAGTCTGGAAAGAATTCCAAGAACAAACTACACAGGATAGCTTCTGGGAAATGAACAGCCATGTTTGGCAGGAGCTGAGACTGTGTACAGCAGAGTACAAGATAAGCTTGAAAGGGCAGGCTGGAGCCAGGGAGTGGCAACCACTGGAGCCCAGGTGAGGCATTTAGACCACATGCCATTGGCCTTTGGACAGCTACTGCAGGTTGGTGCATAGGCAAGATATGCACACCATGTTTAGGAGGATGTGACTGATGATAGGTGCAGGGAGGAAGGAGCAGAAGAGCAGAGTTGTGAAGCCTTACTAACTGTTCCAGGTAAGGCTAGAGGACTTGATCTAAGAGGGCAATGGTGGGAAGGGAAAGGAAAGGATTAACTTGAGGGGCTGTGTGAAATATGCATGTACTTAAACCTAGTTTTGTCCTTAATTAGAACCTAGAAAACGGTCATTTGCAGTCACTGTCAAAGAACTACTTACAAGATGCTAAGGATTCTTATGTTGATTGGGAGGTAAACTGTCATTATTATGATCAAACACGTAAGAGGGCATAAAAATTCTAATGGCTGATAAAATCATTTTTAAAGGAAGCTTTGATTAAGCTTAACAGAGGCTGAGAAAAGATAAGATTTTTGATATAAGTAAAAATTATTTTTAAGGAAACCATGATTGGTTGCAAGGTGATGAGTATTTTTAAATTTCTAAAATAATTAACTGCTGATTTTAGCAAGGCAGTAATAATGACTTAATGATTGACAGATCTATTTTTCCCTAGTTTTGCAAATCTACTTTTTATATCTACTTTTGCAGATGTATTTTCTCTACTTTTTTCAGATCGCTATTGCAAACCTATTATTAATCAAAAGTGAATTTTTTTGCAAATGTACCTATGAGCAAAACTCTGAAGCATTGTAGGCGACACAAGCTAAATCATGTACTTCTTAGTGAATATGCCAACCTATTTACTATTCTCATTTACTTAATACATTTTTATTGAGCCCTCACTATATGATAAGTACACTACCAATGCTGGGTGTACAATAAAGACAGAAAAAGAAGTGCCTGGGTGGCACGGTCGGTTAAGCATCTGACTCTTGGTTTCAGCTCAGGTCATGATCTCAGGGTCGTGATATCGAGCTCAGCGCAGAGTCTGCTTGAGATTCTCTCTCCCCCTCTCCCCCCCACCAACTCATGCTCTCTCTCTAAAATAAATAAGAGAACAAGGTTCTGCCCACATGGGAATGCATAGTACAATGACAAAGAAAGACATTAATTAAAAAAAAAAAACTATCCAAATATATAATTTAAAATTGTGATAAGCATTATAAAGGAAAACTACGGGTTGCCTTGAGAGCTTATAACAGGGAGGAGAAACCAGCTCTGGGTCTGAGAAGGTGTCTTAAAGGAAACTGTCTTTGAACTGAAATCTGTAAGGATGCAGAGGAATGAAATAGGAAAAAAAGAGTAGAGGAGAGAACTAGAATCACATATAATAAAATAAAAATACTCTCTAACCTGTTGGGTAATGGTGTCCCATGGCTCCTGCAGCATCTGTGTCTTATAGCACTCATGGATTCCTTCCCATATGTCCTTCAGAGCTAACGGTCTTCCATCTGCAAAAGTGCATGGCAAAGACCATCAGTCAGTAATCCATTTGACACAATGATGTTTGGTGTTTATCTAAAACTACTAGAAGAACGTTATGATTTTTTAAAAAATCTTTGCTAGTACACATATTACTTATATGTCAAAAGAGTGCCATATGAATTACTATTTTCTTCCTGAGGGAAATTTAAACATTCAAGCTTCTCTCCTTTGTAACCATCTAGCAGTTAAATTATCTGCTCATTCATTGCCTGTAGGAATTCTGCAAAATAAATAAAATCCAAATGTATTTTAGAATTGATAGATACAAGCACAGGCAAAGGACCAGGTAGACAGACTCCCATATTCACAAGGGTGCACTATGAACACCTCTGAAATCTTACTATTTCCTCGAGTTCTTAAATCAAAGACGTACACGTTTCTTTCACTCTCTCATTGACTATCTGTAATGTTCAAATCACCCTGTTGAGTACCATGGGGAATAGAAAAAAGGAAAGCACACAGTTTCTCCTGGTACGAAGCCTACCATCTACTAGGGAAACTATGACAAGTATATCAATAGTACACTAATACTAAAATACTGGGTAGAGAGTGGTTGTTGCCAAGAGGAAAACTGCAGTTCTCCGACAGTACAGAGGAGGGAGACATTAACATCCAGTGTTTGTGGCAGGTGGAGAAAGGGAATTGTTAAGGGTGGAAGGACATGAGAAGGAATTGGCATGAAGAGATTAGGGAAGTGGCTGTATTATTCACTATTATTCTAGTGAATAATAATTCTTTTTCTTTCTTTAAACAATTCAACAATTCACTTATATTTCTAACAATCACAACAATTCACCTATATTCATAACAATCCAAATAATGTATTTCATGAAGACCACTATGGCACTAGGAGAGAAATAGGTATCTAAATTTGTAAAATAAAGTAGAAAGAAGAAATTACCTAAAGACTTGGAAATCGCACACTGCTGGACAGAAAGTGATCTTACTACTAGAATTTAATGCTACTTGGCCCAGAGCTATCAAGTCCTCAGAACTTAGGGTTGTGCTCACTTAGGCAAGTGGACAATTGCATTTAAAGAAAGCTCATCACGGCACCTGGGTGGCTCAGTCAGTTGAGTGTCTGCCTTCGGCTCAGGTCATGATCCCAGGGTCCTGGGTCAGAGTCCCACATTGGGCTCCCTTTCTCGGTATCTCTCTCTCAAATAAATAAATAAAATCTTAAAAAAAAAAAAAAACTAAACTAAACTAAAACTAAAACTAAAACTATAACACTCTCACTCCTGTGAGCTTTTTTTTTAAAAAAGGAAAGAAAGAAAGCTCATCAGTATATCAGATCATTAGACCCAAAGAAGTATTTGGTCATCAAGTGCAATAAAACTTGGGGAAATAATCTATCCCAACCCCTAACGCCCCCACCACAAAGCAAAAGGTATTGTACTCAGATTCATGGAGTTTAAGTAGAGATGCAGACTGTAGGAAAAGAGCACTGGACTTGGGAGCCCAGGCTGAATTTGAATTCTGGTGTCAGCACTTAACTCTCTACGTGACTGCAAGTTATTTGGCTTTACCTGTAAATGAGTATAATTATCCTTCTCAAATCCTGTTCATGTGAATGGGCTTGCATCAGTGAACACACCCAGGACTGTGTCAGGCACACAGTCAGAGCTTAATACCTAGTAGGTATCTCCTCCCAGCCCCCACTGCACCACTTCAGTACTTCCCATACTATAAAGCTAAAGGATTCACTTATAGACCACTATTTCTTAGAATTTTCTCATGTTTCTACACCATGCACATTGTGTTTGATGACATAATATACTAATACCAGAGGCAGGGCATTTCTCATGTTTGACCAGAAAAGTTGAACTTTTCCTCAACCTTTATTTTCAATAAATAGCAATAGAGTATTTTGATACATTTTCAATACGTATCTTCATCTTGGCATTTATCTGTGGCAGGAGACCATTATCTTTTGATAAATAGTTTTATTCCATTGACATTTCCATGTCTGTAAAATGAACAAGATTTATTCATCCAATTAACATTTGAATGTCATGTTTAGGTACAAGTTAAAAACAAGCTGCCTTCAGTATCTGTGTTATATTGTTTTCTGAACACATTTACAGAGCAGGGCCAAACTTTGCCCTTAAGATAAGCACTACATATCTTCAAAATACGCACACGTGTGTGTGTGTGTGTGTGTGTGTGTACTGATGTTGGAAGAGGGGGGTAGGGTCTTAAGTACTTCAATGTCAAATGGTAAACCAAATAATCAAATTATAAAAAGATGACATGCTTTTAAAATAATTTTCAGATGTTGAAGTTATAAGAAATCAAGTTGTAGGATAACAAAATGTTAGAGCTGGTATAATTAAGACAACCAAGGTCTTGGGAAACATACATCAGCCAAAATTATGCAGCCAGTTCATGACTGCACTGGAGCTGGAATTCAAGTCTCAGTGACCTTCCTGCCATCCCCGGCAACCTCTGGGGGCGGGTCTCAGTACCCTTCCCGCCATTCCCTGCAGCCTCTGAGGGCGGAGACTGCCCCTATCCTTTCACCACTGCAGCCCTACAGTGTAGTTCCAAGCCCCACTCACACATTGCAAATGCTTTATAAATATTTACTGAGTAAATGATAAATGAAAGGACACCCTCCTTAACTTTATCTCCTCTAAGACAGAGAAAGGCTTTGCAGACTTAGAGAATGCTGGGTTTAATATCTGGCCATCAATAATGATTTTAATTTTACTCCTTAAAATATTTCAGCCTACAATCTAAGGATGGAGTAAGTGGTTCGGATATTACCACTGTCAAAACCCGGCATACTCTGCTGGAACCATTCATACAAAATGCAATAATCAGCAGCTACCAACAAGGTGGAAAGACCCAGAACAAATGTAACAGAATATTTTCATCAGATTTGATGCTACGATTGAGGGTGTGTGACATATGTTTTCAGAGAACCTCAGATTTACAGGAAAACAATTAACATCTTACAATGCAGGAATTAAAACAATGATCTGGTCAACTTAGAAATAACAGATAATTACAGAGTTAAAAATAATAAGTTCAAACATAAAAAGATGCATCATGCTCCTACATGCATGTTTGTAAGAGGGCTACCCACTTTCTAGAAAGAGAAGAGTGTTTTCTAAGTGAATAGACCCATTCTCTAATGGGTCTGTATTCTCTAATGCATTTACAGACTGTTTAAAAATGCATGTATTAAAGATGATCAAATGAGCACTTGTGCAAGTTACTATGACAAGAGTGCCAATCTCTCCAGCTTCTGCTGACCATCTACACTGCAGACAATCTGGCTAATATAGCTTTTTCTCTCACATACAGATATGACAATAATGACTGTGATGTGGGTTCTTTTCTCTAAGCCTTTATCATCAACTTGCCCAGTCAACGCTCATGCCTTCACGATCAAAGACATACAAAAGTTAGTTTTGTGATCTTTTATGCTAAAACAAAAAATTTTGACCTAATCAGCAATTTTTCCAAAACCATGTCATACACCACTGACACACAAAATATATTCAAAATATGATTGTGATTCTAATTATTTCAAAACCAAATGGAACCTTCATTAATTCCACAGAAACCATTAAACGGAGACCATCAAATATATTTCAAAAATCACGTCATAAAAGTAGAGCTTAAATACTGCAGAAACTTGAAGAACTTTGCGATTTTGAATCTATCTATTTATGAAAACCGAAGACCCAAAACTTTAACTTAAAATACACTGTGGGCATAAACAAATCCTTGGTTAAGCTCATGAAACACATTATTATGTGCTTTCATGTTCAGTTGAAGGTATCTTCAATCAGAAACTTTAAGCCCTGTTAAGAGGGTCTATTCTTTTCTGTCTGGCCTCAGTCAGAGGTGACATAAGCATACTCAATCAACAACTCCCTAGTTTTAGACCCAAGATATTCAATAGCACCAATTTTAACATACTTAGAAATCTCATTAATCACACTGAGGCTGAGAAGCTCAGTAAAATCCCCTGCATGCTTGAAAAATTGAAGCAGAAGCTGAAATAATTTCAGCAGCAACCCACAAAGTAAGCATGGCAAATTAAGGCCATTTATTTAACAAGTGTTTATTGAATGCCTACTATATGCCTCTATCTCCTGGAATGATGATACACATTTGAGCTAAAGGAATATTCTGTCAGCAACCTAGAATGTCAATGATAAAAGAAGAAGAGACACTGGATGAAAAATAGAATAATTAAAAAGTACAATCTTTAGCAACTGCCAGTAGCGTTTAATTTAACAATTTTCATATAAAATCTCTCAATTGAATAATAACCTACATGTCAAATAATCTATATATTACTCAAAATGTGCAGCTCTCTAAATTTCTTCCTTATGGAGCACAACACAAACATTCATCTATCCAGGAAAGCTAAAATATAGTCTCTCTCAGGTAAGAAAATAAATTACCTTCTCATGTCCTCTTCCTGGCCTTGGATCCACTTAAAATCTGTTGCTTTTTGTATATATGGTATTTTGCACTAATACAGGTTAGAATAAACCTTTTGGCTAATTAGTTCTCCCTGTAGTTTTGTTTCACATTTCTCTAGCATTTTCCTCTTTAAAACATTTTTAAACCAGGGCTTGATTTTTCAATGGGATTCTATTCCCATCGTATGTTTTAAACAAGCATCCTAACTCCCCATACTATTTCAAACGTTTACATGGTTCAACAAATAATTCTTGTTAAATTTCCTCTATTGTTTGATTTTTCAATTTGAATATCTTTGTGTTAGTTAATTTTTCATTATTTTTCTTAATAATTCCCACTATTTGCTCTTAAATTTGATTTCAATCCATTGAATCTCTTTTTAATGTACCAAAGTTCATGTTCCATTCCATTATCATAGCTTTATAACTTTATATAAGTATACGTGGCATATATGAACTTTCTTAAAGATTCTCTATGATCAAATAAATTATCTGTCAAATCATTTTCTATATTCTGCTCA